GGTTAGGGTTAGGGTTGGGTTAGGGTTAGGGTTAGGGTTAGGGTTAGGGTTAGGGTTAGGGTTAGGGTTAGGGTTAGGGTTATCGTATATATCGTATAAAATCGTATATATAATATCGTACCAAAAGCAACGGTAGTTATTATTCGCCGATAGATTGCGCTGGCATCACTACCGTGACTTTAAGAGAGAAAAAATCGGCGACGGTACCGTTGCAGGAGACACAGCCATCATAAATATGGGCCTAAATATGGCTGATAGGGTCTATCATGACCATGTCCCCCAGGGTACTGCCGGAACGTACCCTGGGTACGCTCCGGTATACCGGAACGTACCCTGGTACTAAATACTACTATCTAATATGCCGGACCGTACCTCACCTACTCCACTAACGTTCCGGCAGTACCCTGGGCTGGGGGACATAGACCCTATCAGCCTAAATATGGGTCCGGTCCCTGATCGCAACTTTCTTGCATGGGAGTGAAGTTCTGAAATTAGGTCAAGATCGCGTCTGAATGAAATCATATCTTCATAACTTCCCAATGTATATGATACAATCAAGAGTACGGCTACCGGCATGTTACCTGCAACAATTGGGAGTACAACTGGTATGCTACGCAAAGTTAAAATGATGGCACGCCGGTGTCTGACCCTAATAGTAATAATAATTAATACTGTTACCCAAACTTGAGCGCATAAAATATCTTGTAGATAATGATAACAATTTAAAACCATGCTGTGATGGTTAATACCTACCACGATATGCCACAAGAAGATAGAGCTTCTCCCAGTGTCATGTTATACCTTATGTAAGCATCATATATGAGTACGGTACTCTTCCTCAATGGTTATTCTACTAGCCTTCTTCTGCATGCGTCTATGTTTTAAATATTAATGCACTTTCTATAATATGTAGTTGCAGAGGACGCCAGCATGGCAGTCGGTGCGTTGGCAACAAATTCGCTACAGGTCATCACGCCCGATGAACACCGTTATCCTGTTTGTGCCACAGCAAGAAGCATGGGTGATAGAGAGGATGGGAAAGTACACCCGCATCCTTGAACCTGTACGTAGAAATACGAGTAAAGTGGTCACAATGTAGGACCGTTACTTGTGTAGCATTGCATACATGTCTGATGCACACGTTGGCTGTCAATCCTTGATTGTTTGGAACATGTTGGGACATTTGCGCTATTATTTGCTTGGACTGTAAACTGTTATCTCATAATATTTTACTGTAACAATTTTGTGTGGGAGATATTACTATTGACTGTTAATAGTTTAATGCTAGTTACTGAGGTGTGTGGTTAAATATAACAATTGTGACTTTTCAGGGTTTAAATGTTCTAATTCCCTTCATAGAGACGATCAAATATGTACAGAGCTTGAAGGAAATAGCGATAGAAATTCCACAGCAAAGTGCAATTACAGTTGGTAAATGACTTATTACTTGTATTGATATTTAAATTTTGACAATCTTGTTTAGATAAGTATTGTAGTGTAGACATTCAATAACATCTGCACTATAAAAGTCTTAACTATTGCCAATAACAGCTGCAGCAGCCAGCACCAGCACTGTTGTGAGGTGGTACTATAGTTGATCAGCCTTATCTGCACAACAAAGGAACTATATCTAAACATAACAGTTATCATAAAACTGAAAAGCATTTGGTACAATCTTGGCATAATCATTCTGACTCTGTCATTCATCAGTCAGAATGATTACTCCAAGGTACAATTGAATCTACATCTCTACATCTATATGGTTACGTTGATCTGTCAATCTTGACAATTACTCGACGGTTTCTGGTGGGTGCAATAAAAAGAAAATGTACAAATAAGAATTACATGACCAAGAATAAATAAAGTAAGGTAAAAAGATTAAAGGATGAAGTAAACGAGTTGAAATGTAGGAGTATAAATGTTGAATCGTTATAATGTTCAGAATTGTAGTCATGTCACTGTACCAACATTTTCATGAATTGTTTAGTATTTCTCAAAATACCTTTAACTCATAAACACCATTCTCTTTTCAGATAATGTTACATTAGACATTGACGGTGTTTTATACCTGAGAGTGTTTGATGCATATAAGGTGGGTACTAGCTCTCTTTATTCCTATTCATAATTTTAATATTGCATATATGGCAATGGGATAATTTAACGCCAAAAATCTTTAATTTCTTCTATCTTTGTTATTCTTATTCCAATCACCTGCATCTCCTAACCAGCTGGCTGTTTGTTATAGTATATGGTTAGCTTCAGGATGCATATGATGATAGAAAAGTCCTGATGTTTCTCCTTTGCTTGCCCTTGATACTGCTTCCTTGCCCCAGTCATTCTGCACTGTTGTGATACCCACTGGTGTGTTGGACTTCCATCCCTTCGGCAGTTGGCTAGTAGCTTGTATGAGTATAGTTTAAAATACTTCCGTGATTAGTTTATCATATGACAGATTTTTGTCACATGTGTAACTTCTGGTATCACAGGCTAACATTATGTGTGTGAATGCAGGCCAGCTATGGTGTGGAGGATCCAGAGTATGCCATCACCCAGTTGGCACAGACAACTATGCGATCTGAGGTGGGAAAGATCACACTGGACACAGTGTTTCGTGAGAGAGAGCTTCTTAACACTGCAATTGTAGGTGAGGAATACTAGAAATGAGACACTACATACAGTGAAAAACAACTATAGACCCACGCTGTAAGGTAACGTCGTAATAATCACTGGTATGGGTACACCCCATGTAGTTGAGATATGTGTAGTTTCCATATAACTAACAGGAAGTGTTGTGAGCAAACACACGGAACGTTCGGCTTCATATCTAGCCACGTTACATGTCACTTGCAGAGGCTGTTAACAAAGCTGCGGACGCGTGGGGTATCGTCTGCCTGCGTTATGAGATCAGGGAGATGCGCATGCCATCCCGTATTCAGGAAGCTATGCAGATGCAGGTGGAAGCCGAGCGAAAGAAAAGAGCGTACATTTTGGAATCCGAGGGTGAGAACCAGCGAGTTGTGCGTTCAGATTCAGAATACGCAAGAACATGACAGTATCAGATCAGTCGTATTGTAATATGCATCTCATGAGCAGTTTAATACAGACTGTTATGCGATGACGGCTGTAACGTGGACTTTGTCGTAACATGTACATTATAACAGTCATGCATCTTGTACTAGGCTTAAACAACACGATTAGTGGTATTATGTTGAGGTTAGACTCACACTATGTCTTATCGGACACTTTCTAACACTCGGCATGTGATTTTAGGTGTTCGAGTGGCAGAGGTCAATGTAGCTGAGGGCAAAAAGCAGAGCTTGATTCTCAACTCTGAAGGTCAGAAGCTGCAGCAGATCAACTTGGCTGCTGGTGAGGCCAACGCTATCTTTGCGAAGGCTGAAGCACGAGCTCGAAGTATTCGTGCCATTGCCAATGCGCTCGGAGAGAAGGTACAGTCACCACTAGATGTAGTTAGAGTCAGTAGTGGTAGAGTGGAACCCAGAATACCATAATAAGCTACCACTGCAGGGTTTATAACTGATTGGCAATCACAACCGATGTTTAAAATTCCCTTTAATTTACTTTGTTCATCCCTTTTTTCGACAAAAATGATCCGCTTGAAAGTAAAATTGCCTGCCACACTAATTTAGTTGCATTTAAGTTTCAGTTATTCCTTTGATTCTGTTTAACAATTTGCCTAAGTACTATGAAGATTTCAGGAAACCTCGTATGGAAGATACTATTACAATGAAGTTTTCCAACCAACAGTAATACATGTAATAACAGCTCATCGTTACAACATCTGTAAGTATGTGGGAGTAAGTTCTCAGGTGTTGGTTGCTGCTGTAGGACGGTAGCAATGCTGCATCCCTGAGTGTGGCAGAGCAGTACGTCAATGCCTTCTCCAACATTGCCAAGCAATCGAACACCATCCTGTTGCCAAGCAACGTTGGAGATGCTTCCAGCATGGTAGCCCAGGTGAGCAGTGACTGTAGAGGATACCCGCATGTAAAATTATTGTAGCGATGAAATCTTGTGGCACAAAATACTGTTTGATAAGTTTTACACAATATTTTACTGGATACACAATGTTGTAATAATGCACTTGTATTTACAGTGTTAGAGCTTTAAAATAAAAACCACTCGCCAAACTGGGCGAGTGAGTCAATAAGTTAACTCGCCCAAACGGAATCTGTACTCGCCCAAATTTTAAAACAAAAATGCTTGTCAAACACTAGTGAAAAAACACAAAAACACCATTGATTTAACTACACTGTAAGTGTAACACATGTAATTCATTGATCATTTTTCTCAAAAATTCAAGGCACATCTCCTCTGAAAGTTCCTGTTTTCATTTTCATTTAATTTACTTTTATTCTCGGGCTGCTTTGCCCCATCAATGAAACGCCACGTTATGCCGATTTTATTGACTTGTTAACACCAAGGCCAACGTGACTTTTAAACAATCCTGCACTTCCCCCCCCCTCCCCGTACATCAATCAATATGCCGCCCCAGGCACGTATACACGGCCACGCCGTACTGGCGCTGCACGCTCTCGCGGGCTGCTTTCTTCGGCAACCTTTGATAATATAAAGTGAAGATGTCGTGGGATAGCCGCCCTTCACAATCGCTACAACTGTATTTCATCAATGTTTGGATATATATCGTAAGGAACCAACATTTGATTAAAGTTTAAGACAATTATTTTTACTCGCCAACATGGGCGTGTCAGCTTTAGCTTTCACTCGCCCGATATTATTTTCACTCGACATTGGCGAGCGGGCGAGTGCCAAGCTCGCACGCTGTATTTATGTGAGTGAAAGTGTAGCAGTATGACATACGCTCGGTGATCCGCGTATGCTAACTGGACTGGATATATACTATAACAGGCACTGGCCATCTATAAGAACCTGAACCAGCAGATTCCAGAGAGTGAGACGACGGCCGAAAACGATCATCCGCAGAAAACGCAGGAAGGTGGCAGCAAGGATCAACACACCACCAGCTAACCACCGAAGGAGCAGCAGCAGGGAGGTGGCAGCAAGGATCAACACACCCTCAGCTAACCACCGAAGGAGCAGCAGCAGGGCACTGACACCAGTGACCCATACACTCCTCCATCTACCTGCTAGTATGTGATACAGAAAGATTCGTGCACCTTCCAGCTGTGTCCATGCTTACTCGAGGGTGTTACATGATGAGGTAAAGTCATAAACGATATGAGCGAGGGAATTGGTATGAAAGAGAGCTTGCACATGTTTGTGCGAAAACTGCTGTTTTTGAAAAGCAGTTTTATGGCGAGTTATTGAATAGAATTAATTGCATTGAGATTGTGAGTCAATTGTTTGTGAGTCAGTCATCATGGTAACTTTTGCTGCTGATATCTTTTTGTATTATAAATATAGCAGGTGTTGGCAGATCTAATTAATTGGATTTGCAGTCATGCATCATACAGTACAGGTTTATTCACAGACCGGTATAGTCACAATATAACATTCTTTCTTCTGTGATGTTCAGTTATCCCGGGCAGTGACGTGTCTATTGATCAAGTACATGGCATAAAGTGTCAAACTAATACATACCAAGGAATATTTACTTGTTTTTTTTAATTGTATGACATTTTAATATCTTTGTGATTAAGTTGGCTATTCATATTATCAAGAGCTAATAATACCTAGAGTGTACAACAGAAAAACGGGAAAATAGTGCTATTTCACGGCAATATTATTCTACTTTGCCTGCTAGTCTAGAATAATTTTATGGTATTGCATTAAGCAGAATTCCTTGCTCTCTACAACAAGACCAACCGCTTGTCAATACGATACTCCTAGGCTGAGATATGGGCTCGTAAACTTCCCCTCCCACAGGCCTCACGGCACCTCGCATCCACAATATTCACTATCCTTCTCGCCTTTTGCGGGTTAGGAAAGTCGCTTCGTGAGAGTTCGGTTTTTTCTGCGATAACTTTACGAATGAACGGCGTTTCTGTTATCATCGGTGACTTTCGGGGGCATCGCCAATGCCCTTATCTCCCATTATCTTTCCTAGCACAGCTAATGCCCGTCATGATGGAGCCGGCAATGTTTTCTAAATTAAGTCTACAACGCAGCTCAGTTACTATATGGTGTAGTAAGAGTACCAAATTTGGGCATGTGACATCAATTATCAGCGCTCCAAGCGGCGACGGAAAACGATAGCCAGACCCGCAACAGGCGAGGATAGTAGAATATTGTGGATGCGAGGCGCCGTGAGGCCTGTGGGAGGGGAAGTTTACGAGCCAATATCTCAGCCTAGGAGTATCGTATTGACAAGCGGTTGGTCTTGTTTTAGAGAGCAAAGAATTCTGCTTAATGCAATACCATAAAATTATTCTAGACTCGCAGGCAAAGTAGAATAGTATTGCCGTGAAATAGCACTATTTTCCCGTTTTTCCGTTGTACACTCTAGGTATTATTAGCTCTTGATATTATGACAAACAGCTCTAGGAGTGAGCAAGCTTGAGAGGGAGAGAAAAGAGGGAATAGAGAAACATACTGCATTCTCTTAGAAGGGCAATATGCATACACAAAAAACATCAATAATATCAAACTCCTGTAACCATTGACAGTGTAATTTTATTTATGTATAATGAAGAAGATGGCATAATTAAGACTACATGCTGCTTGCATCATGAATCTGGTAGATACTAGCAGTATAACATTGATTACTGCAGTAACATCACTTATATCAACAACACTTGCCACTAGTCTCGTTTAAATAAAAAAAAGCTCGTGTGAAAAGTGAAAACTGATTTTAAATAAGACACATAATAAGTAAATCCAACAAACTTAGGTTTAAATAAATAAATATGTATATATATATATATATATATATGCATGTGCCTATTATAACATTTCGTTATGTAACTAACTGTTTAAACGCTAACTAGTCTTTTTTAACTTAGGAAGAAATAAAAATATGCCTGATAAGCGAAATGCAAACTCCACGACAGATGCGCTCTCGCTCTGGCTCAATACTACCTGATTGTATTATCCCATAGAGTTATATATTAGTTATATATGTTAGTATATTAATACAACTCTATGTATTATCCTGAGTATTATCCTTGTATTATCCTGAGTGTGGGAAGGGGGCACTGCATGCAGTTTGAGCGAAATGTAGACAGCAGAAAAGGACATTTCAGGCCGTTGTCGCGATTGGTTAAAAATACAAATAGCCTTAGCCATTCACAAGTGGATAAACATTTTTGTTAGCGCCATCTGTCGCTATACAATATCGTGGCATGTTGTTGTTTTTATGATCGTTTTAGCTGTTTAGGAACCGATATATTTAATGTATGAATACTTATTCCGGTAAACTTACGTTATCTTAAGCAATATAAGCGTAGGAAACTGGACTTGTGCCGATTTAAGTGAAATCATCGGCGTCGGACTTCCCACATACACCGTACACGGTCCGATCTCATATCGCACACCGTCCACTCCATGCCTAAATCTGTCATGCCCGTAATCGTGTTGTAATATCGCCGAGAAATAACGTCATCTTTCTTAACTTAACCGAAATTACATTCGTTATAAGCTATTCGCCTTCATTGATATGTCACTTCTGAGGGCGGCTCATCGATTGCGGATCGTGCAGGTAACGTATAGTTTGCTGCTCTCCTTAGGTCGCAGTATAGATGCCGACGGAAGAGCTGGTCCAGTGACTAAATAGGATTAGATTATGTTTAATTATGTTGACATTGTTGTGTTGTAGGCCATGTTGTAGCATTGTGTTGGGCATTTACCGAGGATGATGTTTATGTTGATGATGATGACGATAAGGACGTTATGGATGATGGTGAAGTGACTCAATTACTTAGACCGGAGCCCCACAGTGTAATATCATAAATGGTTGTGTCTCCTGCAACGGTACCGTCGCCGATGTTTTTTCTCTTAAAGTCACGGTACTGACGGTACTGACGCCTGATTGGTTGAGCTTGTTTTCTCGCGATATACATAGCACATCCAAAATTTCAATTTCAATATGTCGCAGCAGTGTAACGGTTAGAGCGCTGGCGCCAAGTATGAATGGTCGCAGGATCGAATCCCATCCGTTTTCTAATTATTTTCCTGTTTTCTGTATTTTTCTATCTTTATCTGTTTAACTGTATATACGATAGTATATAATATATTCTTTCGCAACGCTATTTGCAAGGGAACAACTACCCTCTATCAGCCAAGCTACCCCTGGTTTGGACTTACCAATCCTTGTCAACTGTCAACACAGTGTTGAATAGAATAGAGTCAGTGCTGACATAAATTGTCAAGCCCTATATCGTTTATCATTTGCCGACTATGAATGGGCAAAATAACTCTATAGCTGATCCTGCATTTAACAAAGACGAATACTAATAAGTCTGTAATACTATCTAAGACTACCACTGCCTGATATATAATCCAGAAAAGTAGAGTCACACCCAGCACCACTTCAAAATGACTTGCGAACGACAGTGAAATCCCTGGTTTCATTTCAATAATAACAATAACATATTTCACACACAAGGATAAATTCATTATTTCGTAGCATAAATATGGTTAGTTCTATCTTTATCACACAATATAGCTACACCTATAGCATTCAGCCATTAGCTTGCACCAGGCTGTAACACTATGGTGAATTGTAACTATGCAACAGCGAAATAGTGATCAATGCATCATTTATATATTCTTATATGCATCCAGAGAAAACACTTACTTCCAGTTTTACTAGTAAAAATTAGTGGTGAGTTAACGAGGGATCTCTTTCTGTAGTGTTACTCTATAATTTTGGATGACATTCAAGTATTATTACACACAGTGGTTATTACATATTGCACACTATGCCAAGGTAACCAAGATACTACTAATGTAAACAACATTTAGTAGGCAGAAGTTCGGTCAGAGGTTAAGAAGAAAGAGTTCTTTAGACATTCAGGAAGAAATTGTTGGGTGGGGTATTTGATCATTAGGAACATAAGATAAGGGACAGGTTTTGAAAAGTGGGAGTGTAGAATTTGAGAGGTAGGGCATTAGAGCAGTGTTTGGGCAGGGTGGAGTCTGCAAGGGAGGTGGGTAAAATCTTTGCGACGGAGGGAGGGCCAAAGTGAGATTCCTGTTAGGGACAGTGGCTCGGTGCATTGTTTAGAAATTGCTAGTGAGCTAAGGAGTGAAAGAGTGGTGGCTAAGGTGTTAGGACCAGTATAAGTATATGGTATTCAAAGAGAGGTTGACGAGACATTTTTGAGGGTAGGAAAGGAGCTATTGGGAAAGGTGTGGCAGGTGAGTCGTTGTGGAGAGTATGTATTTAGTGTAGTGTTTGAGAAGATGGGGGGAGAGAGGCAATATCGTTTACAACATGCATTTAGCCAATAGCAGCCAGTTCAAGCACATGTCCCATTACCTGAGTGTAATGGCATGTTGTCACTACTAGTAGGAGCTGGAGATCCCATGCATTCACTTCCTCCTCTGCTACTCTCCTGCAAATGAACGGGTCATAACCATAATTTTTAAATCCCACGTAGTTTACATCAAGCTCCATCAAGCTCACAATTTTATATAAAATGCTCATGTCTACAATTATGAACATGCAGAATTGCTCTAGATAGCAGAAAATCGCATTATGTTATAGTTTTGACATAGCTAATGCTACTTCTATCAAGATATACATATTTGTGAGCTTAAATCAAGTAACTTACTCATATTAGTTTTACACAGTGGGAAGGCAAACATAATATGTAAATATAACTCAGTATCTATCCACCACACACAGTAATGAAATTAGACAACACTCGCTAGTCGTTAGCACCTCTTTAGTTGGACTAGCAAGTAGCCTTCGTAGTTCAGGGGATAGGCAATCAGGAGATATCACTTTGTCAAGCATTTCGAAACCTGCAGGCCTCTTCACAGCTTCACTGTGATTTTTCATCTCTGTAATCGATCACCAGAATAAGTCTCATAGTACTTGCCAATCGTGCTGCTATTAGTTTACCCTTGTTTGTATAGCTATCTCTGAATTTTGGTCCTGGTAAAATAGTGGCAAGTATTGCCTAAAATTTGAGCATTCATTGGCCATATCCAATATATTCTGTTGAATGACAGTAGGTGTGTATGCTCAGTTCAGAGCCATACCTTTTGTAATTTAGGCAGTAAATAGTAGCATGTTCCCATTACTATGATAGCCACATGCCCAATGCACAAGAGCAATATAACTGCAAGTGGGTCAGATTCCAATGTATACATATCATCAGGAGTGAATAATAGAGAATAATAGAGAATAATAAAGAATAATCTCTATTACTGCTGATATCATACTGCCGTAACCTGTCATATTAGCCTCCTCCTTAGATGGCAAAAGGTCAAGGTCGTTGTTGCTGCCAGCTGCTTGTGCTGGCATCTGCCACACTGCTCCCCCGACGCTGACCACACACACGTGGTCATCTAGATATGGCGAGGCACACAGGTCAACACTGCTGCCATCGTGAGATTCACTCAACACATGATCGTTGTCGTCGGGTGGCCTGCGTGACGAGGAGCGAGAATTTTACACACGTGACGGATTTTCACAAGTGTTTAGGCCAAAAAAAAAATACCTGTGTTTGCGGTTTCCCCGACCTACTAGTTTTTACACCCACCCTACAACTTTTTATCCATATTTTTTCAAAATAAAATTGAAAAAAAAAAAAAAACTGAAAATCCGATAGAAATTGAGTAAGTTGATCAACCCATACGCAGCTGCTGATGGCCGCCGATAGCGTTTATAGCGCATGGGAGACAACTCGGGCAAGCCAAACGTGAAATACGAGCCCGGTGTCAGCGCGAAGATCGTCGCACGTGTAAACAAGACAATAATGGCGATTACAAAAAAAAAGATTTGAAAAAAAAAAAAGTTAAAAGCCTACCTACCCTACCTATTTTTTTCAGCATGAAATCGGAAACACACAGAGTATTTTTTTTTTTGGCCTTACATCTTATGCAGGGGTTGAAATTAGTTTGAAAATTTACAGGCCAGCCGGGCCTGTAGGTAAGGGATTTTACAGGCCCGCCAGGCAAATTACAGGCCCGCATCATTCCCCGGATACCGCAGCATTTTTTTTTAAATAAACAATTATAATATTATTTAATACCCTGTTGTGCACAACTTGACACAAGTGAGCAATACTGCAGTAACTTTTCATCCTCGCTGGCATGCCGGGGACGGTTTTGCATGCTCGGGCTAGCTAGTATTAGAAATGTCAGGCCCGAGCCTTAAAATACGGGCATCGGGCCCGCAGGCCCCCTTATGATTTCAACCCATGTTACGCAGTCTACGTTTCACCGTGATTCTCATCCCCCTGGTTCGCATAATGTAAAAAAATAATGCTGCGAACAACTGGAGTCCCCACACGGGCTTCTTTCCAACATATCTAAGGACATTGTACCACCAACACCTGTGGTGCCTGCCTGCCCATGAGGCCATTCTCGGAATAATGCTCACTCGTAACATTAGTCTTAGTTCCTCAACACACATCACCCCCAGCATCAGCACCGCCGAGTAGGCGTACGCAGACTCACATGAGATTTGCTAGCTCCAGCTCTTGGGAATCCTCTGTGAGAAATGTGCCGTCATCACTGACGAGGCTGAGCCTGCGGAGATCATCAGGGCTCCGAGACTCCGCCCTGTCCCCTCCTCCCGTCGCCCCACCCACACTACCACTGCCAACCTGCTCAGGAATGCCCAGCTTCAGTTCCTGATATCGTGCTGCAAATAATGACCAGAATTCTAGTTTACCGGACAGATACCACTAATAAACCTACGTTCACTAAACTCTAATGTTGATGTCAACGTTATTGACTATTTAAACCCTGTAGTAAATGATAGTTATAAAATTCCTTGGCATTGAATACTTCGTGGTAATGGCGATTCTACCTTTCTGGGTCCAGAAGCCACTTATTTCCAGATTCTTCAGCTTTGTTTCCAGCCCTGTGACTCGCTCTCCAAGTATTCTATGCGTAGGATGATGGTTAGATAAATAACAACTATCAGCAACATCATAAAGTAACGCACTCTGTAATCATATATGACAGGGAGCATATTAAGGTTTTCCCCATACATTAGTATAGAGTAATTATTACTGAAATCTAAGTCATTCCAATAAAAAAATACACACACACTGGTGTGTCACACACATACACATATAGCCAAAACCACTGCTCTGACCACAACACCACTTTGAACTTGAACCTGAACTTTTATAACAACTACAATGGGATATTTTACAGCCATATAATATATATTTTGATTTATTTAGCTAATTTATTAATACACAAAAACAACCAGTGTTCTTGACTTGTAGATGTACAGCTGTAATGTTAGACGTACTTGTTGGTTTTCCTTTGATGAGATAGCGCCACGTTTTTGTCATTCACAGCCTCAAATAAGGCAATTGCCAGCGCACGTAGATCAGAGACTGTTGCCGCAGTATTGGCGAGTTGTGCGTGCTCAGAATCTTGCAATAACTGTTGCACTGCAAACAACAAAGTTATGTTACCAACTACATTAAACACTAAGTTATGTAAACAGTACCCGTAAAATTACAGGAGGAATGCAATAATAACTAGAGCACTCAGAGAGCGCAAACCTCCGCCAAGGCAGCTGAATTCTGTCACTGTGAAAATGTTTATTAATTAATTAATTAGAAAGTTACCTGATTTCTGATGTATCCTGAAAATTTTATTAATTAATTAATTGGATCCGGATCACCACCAAAATGTTATCAATTCTAAGTTACCCCATTTGTGACCTATCCTGAAAATGTTATTAATTAATTAATTAATTAATTAATTAGATCCGGATCACCACCAAAATCTCATCAATTCTAAGTTAGCCCATTTCTGACCTATCCTGAACATTTTATGACAATCCGTCCATAACCTTTTCACTTAGGCTGTACACAAACCCGGCTGTACACAAACCCACAAACACTCGCCGGTGAAAACATAACCTCCTGCCAACCCCTTGGCGAAGGTAATAATCTTATGGGTATGGCAATTGACGGTTAATAGGTAAGCTATTCAGATTTACTGACAGCTAAACCTCACCCTGCCTCTGTGAGATGATCACAGACCCTGGTCTGGAAGCACCCAACTTGAGAATGCCCTTGTTCTTGCGTCTATCCAGGGCATTCTTGTATTTGGTTACAGTAGTAACTGCCATTGTCATCTCCTCCTGTAGCTGACTCACCCTCTCCTTCAGGTACCTACAGGAGAAATGCACTATTTAACTGTTTTTAAAGAAATTGCAATGTAGGTACTAAGAGGCTGCAAGAACAACATCAAGAAGTAGAGATGTCTAACAAATAAGGCATGAGACCAAGTACTTCAGAATCGCAGGAGACGATGCTAACCCAACGGGGAAAAGGAGATTGAAACAGAGTAAGAGTGAAAGAGAAGTCAGAGACAAGATTTATATGAAGTAATTACATATTCTCCATGGTGAGAGAGTCAATGTCAACAATGCGTTTTTCGTCTCCCTGCAACACGTAGTTTAGTTCACGGTTGAGCCGGTCCACCTTGTGCTTGTAGGCGTCTCTCTCTGTCACCAGCTCTTCTTTCTCATCCAGCACTGTCTGCAAGTCTCGCTCCAGCAAGCAGTACTACAGAGTCAACGGTAAAATATAGAGTATATTCCAATTGTTAATACCATAATTGAGATCATTTAGATTATCTGTGCTGATTGTGCTGATCACAATGCACTTGATGCACAGACTAGTGGATGCAACAGCCATCAGACTACATCAGATGAGGTAATTAAATTAATCGCCAATATCTATTTATGCCACCAGCTTGGGCTCACCTGTTCTCGCGAAGCCTCAAGCTGTGAAACAAGGTCCTCCCTCTCATGAGCTGGAAAATGCCTTGTGTTGACACCCTCATCAACTGTTCCTACCCTATGTCTGGCAATCTGCTCCCGCAACAACTACCAACATAGACAATCACAGAACATAGAAGGGCATGTCTGCAGATTCAAGATAATGTTCTGTAGAAAATTGTGGTTTTTATTTTGAATAATGGTGTAAACTGTAAGCTGTACAAAAAGTACTTTGGATTTAATTGGTATTGTTAGGCTGCCATAGAGTGCATAACAACCTACTAGACAAAGGGCCTTATCCAAAAATAGAACATGCATTTTAACATCATTAAGCCAGCAAAGTGTATTGAACTCAAATAATACACATTAGCTAATAGAATTCTTGTAATTGTGTGAATCCAAAGAAAGCCAAATAAAAATACAGCTATGAACTAAATTTCTTATGGTTAATATGTCCCACCTTTAACCTTCATGCATGGACATATAACCAACCTCAGTCAAAATGAATTGGTAATAAGCCTATTGTATATAGTTTACCTACAATAGGGCCTATAGATAATGATATTTAACTACAACCATAGATAATTTTTGCAGGTCTAAAATTTGGCTGTATACTCATACAGTTGTTTTTACTGTGTGCTATACCTTAATGTCGCCCTGTGCATCCGACAACTTTTGCTTCAGACTGTCAACCTCAAACTGTAAGGTCTTGTTATGTTCTTTCATCTCACATAGAAGCTGTAAGACACCCTATAAACAGAAACATGTACTCTCAAACCTTTATTAAGTTAATACTGCATGACCCTAACAGTCAGTGGCTATGTAGACGATATCTGCCCAGTCCGACCACTGCCTCCAGACTATCTATTTAATTAACAGAGTAATGTTATATTTAATTGGAATATCATAACAAAAGATATTCTTCTTAAATGTTGTATCACTGTAAAAATAGTCAGCTAAGATCACCTGGTCTTTTACTGCATGGTTTGATTTTCCACATGGGTTATATGCATCCGTATTGTTCCACAAATCCTATAACAAAAAAAAACGAAATGGAGATATAGACATACCGCCTGGCACATGTCACAAGAAGAGTAACACCTGAAAACTCGGACAGTTATACGTATGCAACTACACAACTCCCAAATAAAACGTAAACCAACTACAATGTTTTTCCACCCGGAGCCTGAACTAAAATGATTTTTATTGTTTTTGTTTACATATATATGATTTTCCTGATCCTTCCAAGAAACAATAAAAATAACATGTCCCACATTGTAATATATCAGTATATTCCTAGAACCATCACTCTTGTTTTCACTCTTCACAACAGTTTTTACCTAACATGGTTTACCACTATAGATGTGATTAAATTAAATTCTAACTTAAAAATGATTTTCTATCTGAAATTCAGCCAGTATCAAGGCAAGACTTGCATGGTGTGTTCTAGCATTCTATTGATAGCTATGCCTACATTTAGGACACCATGACTGCAGTCCTATCCAATATCTTAGGTAAATATGTAGCAGGTGGGCTTACCATATCCTGCTGCCGTTTCTTCAGTGCAGAGTACCGATCCCTCAGTTGTTCAGCCATCAGTCGGAATTGATCACGTTCACTTCGGCATTCGTTCAGGTCTTTGCTGAGTATGAGCAGTGCCTCCACTTTACTCGCCAACCGTTGCTTCAGCACTGCCATCTATAAAACACTCAAAACAGTCACATGATCGCATATATCATGAAATACTTTGTCTGCCACTCGCACAATCACAGTAATAGTACAAATACGACAAGAACTAATTCTATAGCCATTCATTGATTTCACTCAGCTCAGTGTGTGATGAACAAGAATAAACAACATAATGATAATCTGTTTACATTTCACTTCATTTTATTTCGAGTAGCAGTCCTTGTTTTACTATCCTTGTAGAAATATAACAATGTGGCAATAGTATAATTATGATTATTGATAGTAATAACCATGTACTGACATATACAAAACGGTACAGGTATGAAGATTGAAATACCTATAATGATACAGTATCATATATTACGCTACTAGATTAATAATAATACAAGCGGGTAGCATGTTACTGGGGACACACATTGGTAAACCACCATGGCATTGCATTTAATAGCATATAGCATTGGTTAAATGAATTCGGGTGCCGGAAATGCATTAGCTGACAAGCACTGCTGGATATCTAGTTTTAGATCCAGGAAACGCTAGACGGTTACGTCTTACAGAGAGATACGCCGTTAATTAGCTAATGAAGTCTGTAATAGTGTCGCAGCATGTCAGGTTGCCAGACCAGGGCAGTATTAGTAATGGGTCAACACACACACCCAAGTTCTAGTTCTAATGAAGGTGTCAATGACACTGTAGCTCACCACAAAAAAGGACACAAATGAGTAAGTAAGAAGAAGTCAGTTTTAATTGAGCAACCATCGACGTACATTATAGAAACGATTGCCATCTGTATATCGCAATAATAATTTATAAACCAAAATGAATCACAATTTGTGACCGTAGATGGCGCTATACCCGCTTTGTAGCGATGGCGTTTGAAATAAATAGGTTATGCTGCGTTCCGACATGTTTTCTAAATCTTTACTCTAATATAGACGTTTTATCGGCAGGGTGGAGAGGAAATACCAATTTTGCATTAAAGATATTGTCAATGAAATCTTGTAAAACGAACCAGACGAGTGTGACACCACAGACTGTTTGTCTATATAATATGCTATATAATTGCCAAACCCTATCTAATTTGCATAATTTTTTTTAAATATCAAAACCCCTAGCCCTTATTCATTCACATACCAAAAATGAGCAAAATCCGTAGAACCTGAACTGACTAATGGCAATTCCCATTTTTGCCAAAAAATTGCCGTGGCTCGAAAGTACGTCGACTGGCGTGCTTCAAAATAAGACGTTTAATATGGGAGCATAGCAGTAACAACTATACCCAATTTCAAACATGTGGGCCCAACGGTTCCTGAGTTATCGTTGACCGAAGCGAAATGTTGACGGACGGACGGACGTACGATGACCCATGGCAATAGCTCAGCTTGACGATGTCAAGGTGAGCTAATAAATGGTCTTATATCAAATGCCTGTGTCACTGACACAGGCATTTGATATAAGACCATAATAATGAAATTTTATTATGACACATAATTTTAGTATCCTCGTGTGATTAGTTTTTTTCCCCTTTTTTAGTACAGTCCGACCTCCTTTATCCGGCCACGTCAGGACCGGCACCCATCCGGATATGGGATTTGGCCGGATATGAGAGTTATGCTCAAACACAGCATTTCTATGCAGTTCAGTAGGGGTTATGCATGTTATCATGTAATTGCTCGTTGCTACGATTGATTATTTGTAACAAACTGTCGTGTTTTATGGTTTATATAAAATGGAAATAAAATGAAATAAAACAGAAATTTTACCACTTCGGTTTATGTTTGTTTCTTTTGTGCTGAGATCAAGGGCTGTAACAATCGATACACTTGCGGCGTTGTATGCCTAGGGCTGTTACATGTGCGCGGCAGCGGCACCATTGATTGAAGTACGGGGCTTGATCAATTGCGAGTGCGTAGCGAAGTAGCGCGTTTCACTAACGTCCGCTAGTAAAAGTTGTTCGTTAACAGACAAAAGTTGTCCGTAGGCATAGCGGACAACACACACACGCACGCACGCACGCACACACACATTTTTGTTCATTCATATGATATAGTATACAATGTACTATATATCTTTTATTCCTTGGTAGTTTTTACAGCATCAACAAGTGAGTATATATATTCGTGAAATATTCGTATTAATATGGCCATATATTTATACATGTACATGTACATGGGTGTTTGCTCTTACGGTAAGCAGGGTTAGACACTAACCATTTTAGTTCATTAGTCCACAGGACTAGTAAAAGAAAAAATGTACTAGTCCTTCCAAGATTCTACTAGTCCTGCTGAAGGACTCTTACTAGGCACAGAGTGACGAGTATTGTGATTTGCCAGGAGGTAGGTGGGGTAGGAGGGTGGAGCCCCCCTTCTGCTAGGGGGTACAGGGGGTCTCTCCCAGGGTACAAGGGGTGTCTCCCAGAAAGGTTTTGTAAAGGACATTCAATTGTATAAAATACATGTAACTTTGATATGGATCATAAGATTAAAATTTAAATTAAATAAAATTTTAATTCGAAAATAAAATGTCGGCTTCCTTTGATGAGGATCCGAGGATGCACTTATCACAGCAAGGAATTTGGCCTCATTTATAGCTACAAACTGTTCCCGGCGCCTTGTATCGGCTACGCCGTAATGAACCTCTTGCAGGCCTTGTCGGTGAGGTAAGTGCTGCCGACATCTAACCCCTTGGTCTTGTCAAGCTGGCACAGCTTGACGTAATCGGTGTAGGGCCTGCCGTTTTTTTCCAATAGCATGTGCATTTCTAATGGGGTTCGCCATTTTCTAATCGCTGGATAGATGGCGCGCGTGCACTGTCCGGTATCACTGCTAAACAATGGCGTCTAGTTACGAAGGGAAAACCGTAAATGAATTGAAATCAGAGTTGCAAAGTAGAGGTGCAAAGACATCTGGGAGGAAAGCTGATCTGCACGTACACGTACACGTGCGCGTGCGTGTGCACGTGTGCGTGTACGTGCGTGCGTGCGTGCGTGCGTGTGCACGTGCGTGCGTGCATAGGCACGTACACGTGTGGGCGTGCGTGTGCACGTACACGTGCGTGCGTGGGCACGTACACGTGTGGGCGTGCGTGCGTGTGCACGTACACGTGCGTGCGTGCATAGGCACGTACACGTGTGTGTGTATGTGTGTGTGTGTGTGTGTGTGTGTGCGTGCGTGTGCACGTACACGTGCGTGCGTATGCACGTACATGTGCGTGCGTGTGTGTGTACGTGCGTGTGCACGTACACGTGCATGGGTGCGTGTGCACGTACACGTGCGTGGGTGCGTGTGCATGTACACGCGCGTGCGTACGTGGGCATGTACATGTGTGTGCGTGGGTGCGTGTGCACGTACACGTGCGCGCGTGCGTGTGCACGTACACGTGCGTGGGTGCGTGTGCATGTACACGTGCGTGCTTACGTGGGCACGTACACGTGTGTGCTTGGGTGCGTGTGCACGTACACGTGTGTGCGTGTGCACGTACACGTATGTGCGGGCGTGCGTGTGCATGTACACGTGTGTGCGTGTGCACGTACACGTGTGTGCGGGCGTGCGTGTGCATGTACACGTGCGTGCGTGCGTAGGTGCGTGTGCACGTACACGTGCGTCCATGCGTGTGTGCGCGCATGTGCACGTACACGTGTGTGCGTGCGTGTGCGTGCACGTCGTACACGTGCGTGCGTGTGTGCGTGCGTACTTTCATCACCTCTTTTGATCGCCACACACCATTTCAATCTCAGTTGTGGGTCACTTGGGCCCCCACTGTTTCGTGAACAGGCATGGTCCTTGCATTTCTTTTTGCTAGGATCTTTCTGTGCCCCTCGGAAGCATCATGTGCCATGTTTCCAAATGATAGTTTGTAGTGCCGGTGAAAAAACTACCAGACATACAGCCTGCACCACAGGTCATACCCTTGGCTGGTGCTCTCATATGAGAGGCTCTCATATACACTCTTATACACACTACGGTAGGCGCAGAACGGGGTTGCTATTTATCGAACCCCGGCTACACTCTTATACACACTACGGTAGGCGCAGAACGGGGTTGCTATTTATCGAACCCCGACCAGCCAGTCGCAAGTGCCTGTGCCTTGAACCAAGAATTGTATCACTTCTTGCACAGACGGTGAGGAGCTTGCTAGCTCAGTCATGTTATATCTGTTACAAATGTACCGTCTTTAAATTAATAAATGAATTAATAAATTTACCATTAGTTGAAAGATCTATCCAATGTAACAGATATGATCATGTAGCCCAAAAGAGCACGGCTAGTAACGCCTAACGCTCAACGGCAGCCCTAACAGAACAACAATAACTTGCACCCTAACAGAGTAGGCTACTACACTGTCTGAGTCTACACTACAGGCACAGCCAATGAGCCAGACTGCTTATACTAGCCGCACACTATCTGACCTGAGTGCGATCGGGAGGCTTACGATTGGATCGAGAGGCTTTAGTTTGGCTCGGGAGGCTTAAGTTTGGCTCGGGAGGTAATTTTGGCCCGATTCGAATTTTGAATCGAGAGCGGATAGTGTGCGAGGGCTCACGACGCGACTCGGATAGTGTGCGTGGCCATCCGACCCGATCGGCAAGCGCTGAAGAAATTTGACCAATCACAGAGCAGCGCCATGGGAACCGCATTTCAATGGAATGGCATTCGAATCATGGAAAACACTCCCGACACTTAGTACACGCAGTGAAAAAATTAATTTTTTTCTTTCCGGGGCTCTTTTTGCAAACCCCCCCAAAATTTCGGGGGCTACTTTTTCATTTTCCAGGGCTCTTTTTCCACTTTCCAGGGCGACTTTTTTCCAGGGCTGTTTCCTCAAATGTACACACAAGCACAGTAGCTATCACACTGCGTGGGCGCGCACGGACACCAACACACGACGGTCAGCACGCGACGGCATACGGCGACGCAGCGCACGCGAGGCACAGCACGGCCGCGGACGGCACACACACACACACACACAGCACACACACACACACACAGCACCAGACACACACAGACACAACAAGTCGAAGTATTCAAGACCAGGTTATTAGCATCAGAACTGACAGACTAACATGATAATCACAACTGCACAAGTCACAACCAAATGCACCTTGACATTAGTGAATACATCCAGGTTCAGCTAAACACCACGAACTATTGACGGCTAGCAAATAGTGAATGTCCGCCTGTACGAGCAGGAGGATCGATTGTCATTATACGGGCGAAGTCTCTTTGCGGGGCTGGGGTCCAAGGCCCGCGTAGGGGTTTGATGAAAGCGGCCCGCACGAAGCACGTGTGAATGTCGCTTGTGCACATCGACTGCTGCGTACGTGCCTGCTGGCAGGGCGGCATTGATTGAAGATATGGGGGTGGGGGCACGATTGTTTCAGCGTTGCCGTACTTAATCACTACTAAAATTTAGAGGGTTGCATTGCTGGACTATGAGAGAGCGCGCAGCAAAACTTTGCTTTCCGGACGGAATTGACAAAAACAAAGTACCCAATCGGGTTAATGACAGGCACGAGTGTGCCGTGCCGGCAGGGAAAAAATATACGTTGAATTTCATTAGGATTTTCCATGAGATTACCGTTCTAAGATCAATGCTACGGTTCGTTGGTCCTACGGGTCTAGCGTAGGCACGCCCGCACACCGGGACGCCTAGCGCACGCTATGGCAGGCACGCACTGCGACACCGCAGACGCGCGAGGCACAACACGCAAGCACGCAGCGGCAGGCAGCACCGGCACACACGGCCGCCCGACACGCAAGCCGCGCGCAGGCAACGGCACGCCGCGCAGGCACAACACGCAAGCACGCCTGCAGGCACACGGCAGCCACGCTACCCGGCGCGCATTGCAACACACGCAGCACGGCGCACAAGGCACTACACGTATATAATACGCGGCGCGGCGGCGGCCGCGCGCTTGATTGAGAAATGAAACAAACTTCGATCTCTTAACTGATAAACACTTGAACAGCCCACCGTAACTAGGACATTCTACGCGCGACGTGCAAACCGGCTGCCGTAAGCAGGTCAGAGCCCGGCGAGATCGGCAGGCGGCGGGACCGACGCTGGACAAATCGATTCGCAGGGCGACTTTTAGCTTTTGGGGTCGCCCCGATATCGTATTTTCGGGGGCTCTTTTTGGCATTTCGGGGGCGAAATCGCCCGCCGCCCCCGTGTATTTTTTCCCCTGAGTACACGTTAAATCCGCTTGGAACGCCACAAGAGTGCCATGGTTTGCGCCAACTTTGAGTCGGACAGTGTGCAGGGGCCTCCCGATTGAGCTAGCATTAGTAGTACTAGTAGTATAGTGCTGAGAAGGTCCATGTCTCCCAGGGTACTGCCAGAACGTACCCTGGGTACGGTCCAGTATACCGAAACGTACGCTGGTACTATCTAATATGCCGGACCGTACCTCGCCTACTCCACTAACGAGTCTAGAGAGTCGCCTATGCCTACTGCATAACCCTAACCCTAACCATATCAAATGGTACGTTCCGGCAGTACCCTGGGGGACATAGACCCTAGATGAGCAGTAGTAGTAGTAGCGGTATGGCTAGTAGTAGTAGTAGTACAACTACAACTACAACTTACCACTACAACTACAACTAGTCATAGGGTCTATGTCCCGCAGGGTACTGCCGAAACGTACCCTGGGTTCGGTTCGGTATACCGGAACGTACCCTGGTAACTATATGTAGCCTGTCAGATCAAAACATGCCGTAGGACTCAATTCGGACATTATGAGTAAGTAGTTTTATCAGAAAGACCATCCAAGTCTGGTTATTTTGACACCAAGATCTTCTTCCTAGGTCACATGGTTCGGAAGTTATGAGCATTTGAGTAGTTGAAATCGGGCCGATTTTGGAAAACAAAGTTCAGAGTAATTAGGTCATAAAGTTAAAGTTTGTTTTCATTTGGCCTTCATTTGGACAAAAATCTGAAAAAATATCTTCCCATTGAGCTAGACACATGAATTTTTGCATGCACGTACCAGACATAATAACCATCCACTGTATGAAGTAGCTTACAGTTAAGGTAAGTAATTCAGGTAATTAATTAGGGTAATTAAAACATTAATTATCTGGACATTTTGGACACGCAAATAAACACATAAAGACACACTTTTGGCCAGTTTTATTGATGTAACATCGAACATGGATAACTACTAAAGGTATTTATGACAACAACAAAATCGGCTTTTTACTACTTTTAGGTGAAAAATCACCTATAATACTCAGAATGAACATTGAAGTCCTACGGCATGTTTTGATCTGACAGGCTACATATGATTGATATGGTTAGAGTTAGGGTTATGGTTAGGGTTAGGATTAGGGTTAGGGTTAGGATTACTATTAGGGTTAGGGTTAGGGTTAGGGTTAGGGTTAGGGTTAGGCCTAGGGAGCCTGAATACTAGGGGCCTATAATTAAGTATAACTACAACAACTAGTAGTAGTACAAGTTCAACTTTTACAAGTACAAGGTACAAACTAATATTATTACTAATATCACTCAAGTCATGATATTACTGCGCGCTTACCTCTTGCTGCACATTCTGCAACAGAATATTATGGCTGGTATCTTGATTCATTTTGAAGCGTTCAAGCGATATTTAGCAGAAAGTGTGTTTTCCCACAGCCGTAAAATTGTAACGTTCTCTTGCGAAAACATCTGTTGGTTATGAAACCACTCAGGCGACAACGACTTGTTCTTCACTTTGTTAGACTTGCGCCATCTACAGGGAGCATACAGTATTAAAAATATTTCCGTCGCGATGTAACCTGTAGGATAGAGGTGGTATGTTCCGCTTCCCCGGTTAGTGTAGTGAAGCGGAACATACCACCTGTATCATACAGGTTAGTCGCGATGTCACAAAGTCTAATAAAAACTCAAATTGATTAAAAATCACATGAGAACCACGATGAGCCAACAGAGACTGGTAAACCTCAGTATTCTCGCTATCGAAAGTGACATTTTAAATTTGTTGAAACATGATGAAATACTCTCTGAATTTGCAAGCATGAAAGTGCAGAAAAAATACAGACTATAGGGCCCCCACACAATTGCGTGCCCCGGGCCCCCCACACGCTTAGTCCGGCCCTGCAAAAATGACCTTTCACCGCTACAATTCGAGACCATCAATGAAAGATAGATTCTCAGAGCAATTTCGGTATTAGGAAAAGTGTCCTTCAGCTGAACAGCGAAATTCAGTCAGAGAAACAGCATGGGAAACGCATCTCTTCAACGTTCCATGCTAAGAATTTTGTGGATCACAATTACGACAGTTTTGTAAATTTTAGGATACTCTAAATGGGGGGGGGCCGGGGCACGTGCCCCTGTTGCCCCGCCCTTAATACGCTAGTGACTGTGGCATATTGTAAACTGGTAAATATTTACATACAGTCTGAATCACATACGCGCACATCCCAATCTACAGTCACATACGCACATCTCAACCTACAGTCAAATACGCACATCTCAATCTACAGTCACATACGCATATCTTAACCTACAGTCACATACACACATCTCAACCTACAGTCAAATACGCACATCTCAATCTACAGTCACATACGCACATCTCAACCTACAGTTGAGATGTGCGTAGGTGACTGTAGGTTGAGATGTGCGTATGTAACTGTAGGTTGAAATGTGCGTATGTGACTGTAGATTGAGATGAGCGTATGTGACTGTAGATTGAGATGTGCGTATGTGACTGTATGTTGAGATGTGCGTATGTGACCTACAGTCACATACGCG